AGATGCAGCGAAGTCCCAGTTGTCTGGTGTGATTACACAGCGCGGGAATGTTTAGGGGATTAAACACTGCAGCTCTGCCCTTTTTGCTTTCCCAGGACGACAGAGTCCAAACATTGACTGAGATTCAGATCTGAGGCTCTTTATAGAGATGACTGACAGTTCCAGAGCGCGAGGAGGAGTATCAGAGCGACACTATTTTAACACCTGGTCCTCTGAAGCGGCACCGCACAGAGGGGTTTATTTAGTCTGCACTGTTCAGTGTGCAGCACACGTGTGTTAATATGTTGTATTTAGTGCTCGTTGCGTCACAGTCTGACAGCATGAAACCAAACGCGCAGGCTACACTTCATCCTTCAATGACGTGCTGAAAAATGGGTGTTATGAATTAATACACCTTCGCTTAAAGCTCCTTCATCATGTACCAGCAAACTGAAAACAGTCTCACAGCAGTCTGTGAAACACTCACAAAATGTAATCTATTGATTTGTGTTCCTGAACACCAATTTTACATTTTGTAGAAAAAAAACATGTTTGTTTGTTTTTTTTACAGTCCAGACTTTCTATTGATTCACATGTCAGAACAGGAAGTGGAATTTTTCCAGACGTAACCTCTGAGGTCTAACTCATTGTAGGTAATAACCCTCACCTAATACTATACTTTGGACAAAAGCAAAACTGACCTTTCGGAAATGAAATTTTTATATCAGGTAGAATTAATATTATCCTTATTCCCAGATTGTCAAAATTTGGACAAATGAGGGCTTAACATTAAAAAAATCTGTATGTAGGAGCGTGATGTGACACTCATGCTTCTGCATAAAGTAGTAGGCATGTCCCCGCTCTGAAACCCTATACTGTAAGCTGACGGGCACCTCCCTGGAAATGTGACCGATGCAGCCCACAAAGACCACGGTTGGCCCCTTCAGTACTAACAGTATTAACCCCCTGTGCATTTCCTGCTATCTCTTATTTTGCTGTTAGTTTTTTAAATGGAACGAAAGAGAATTTACGAACTCATGCTTTCATGTCAAGCTTGCACTTGACTCCTTTTATGAACCAAAACTACTTACTACAGACGTACACAGACATTAGCTAAATGCAGCCTGTCTGTGGGAAGGAAAAAACCAGCATGAGTAAAGACTGGACGTCTTATGAGTCGCTGTTAATTATGAATAGCTTTTCTCAGTCATTAGCACAAATTTAAAGAGGACATAAAAGGACAATTTAACAAGTTTTATAAATAATTACTATTGTTGGAATTTATTCTGTGAAAAACTGGGATTTAAATTGATTACTTGTTAAATTATAATTGATTTTCGTGTAATAGAAACTTTCTGGCTCAGTGACCACATCACAGGCTTGGTTAGTTGGACAGCATTACCAGAAGAAGACGAGGCTGGCAGGCATTTCAACAACATACCGAGACTCCTTATATATACTTTCCAGTCGAGCAGGAGGAGAGAAAGAGTTAGCTCGGAGGAACTGGGTATTCAGAGGGGTTGGGCAGCATCACCTGGTGCAGGTGTGGACAGTGCATGGAAATGCCGATCAGCTGTCAGGGTACTGGTGTGGCTCACATGCTTGTTTCCCCAGGACCGACATTTACCAGATGTTCTGCTGCTGATGTTGGAAATGGACATGCATCAGCAGCAGGTACGCTAACAATAACTAATGGTAGCTTGTTAGCATCTAAAATGTGACAAAATGATGTTTGAAACTTGAAACTTTATAATTTAAGTATGTCACTAATTCTGAGTTGCCATATACACTATCACTGTTTGGTTAATAAAACGTTCTTTGACCTGCTAGTTTGCTAACTAGCAGTAGTTCTGAGGTATGGCTGAGATATGGCACAAAAAGCATAAAATTATAGATGTTCTACAAAAACTAGCCTTGACTTATTTATGACTTGTTTGACCCTGTGGTTAAACGAGGCTAACTGCACAGACAGTCTAACCTAAAGTGCTCCTACAAACACTAGCATTGTGGCTAGCTATCACTTTTGTGCAGCTAGCCAATAATGAGGAATCACTCGCTGCTTAAGTGGTAAAGAGAGCAGATGGACTGTGTCTCCTTGGTTTTTACCTCTATTAAATTAATTGCTGCAGCGATGACTATGGCCAAGTCCTGGAATATCGACATCTATATAGTTATCTGGATATTTGCTGAGATCTCTGCTCTGTAGCCTGCCACATCTGTCCCAGATGTGAAGTATACTTTAGCTTCAAATCAAAACTTTGTGTTATTTCCATTCAGTCACTGCTTTAAGTGATGTATACATCAAATGAAACCAGTAGAATTTGATCAGCACAGAATACCAGATTATTACTTTTGTTGTCATCCTTGTGTCTGATTGGTACACAGTGTTAACCAGCAGTGTTTGACAAATTTTGCAGCAAATCTAATCTGATCATTTATCTGAAGCCCTGTCATAGCTGGTGAATGACTTCAGTGCTGCATTTGTCCTGAACCCACTGTTATACTGTACACAGGGTAAAGTAGGTTCATTTAATATTTATATGGATTTTGGTTTGTTTAGAAACAGCTCTCATATAAATCAGTTTAATTACACAACAACAAACATTTATAATGTTACTGTTTTCTTTCTTCTAATTTGCTGTAAGTCCAGTTCAATAAAGACCAAACATATTAAATCAGCAGTTGCTCGCTCTGCCTTTATTTAAGCATTTCCTATGTTATATAACTACAGTCCATCCTTGTTTATGGAGAATAAACTACCTCTGGAGGCTGTTGAATGAGTGAAGGTTTGATCCTGGTAGGTTTTCTTTTCACTGGCTGATAGTTTGGCGCTGACTGACTGCTGAGTCTGGTCGACTGAAATCAGCAGCTGCTGCTGTCCCTGAATACCCCCCAACCCACCCAGCTCTGCTTCTGCACCCACCACCTCCAGTCTGGATCTCTATATTTACCCGGGGTGGCGTGCCTGAGGCCCCGCCACTGACAGAAATGTATGACACCTATAATGTGGCGGGTTTATTTTCATATGGCGAGCAGTGACCTCTGACTTCTGCACACCAGGAGAATTCAGTTAGACAGGGACAGCGATAGTGGGAGCTGAAAGTACGACTTTCATATCCAACATCTGTGTTTGTTTTCAAACCACAAACTCCCACATCAGGGCTGATGCACGTAAACACTGTAACCACGCTGTCATTTGAACACTATTATACTGAGATACGCACGACTCTGGCAGCTCCACTTAATGACTAATTAAATCTGATAGGTGAGTACAAAATACCGTGAGCCAAGTTCATTTTCATGTGCTGCAGCCTGGTGGTCGTGCCAGATGATGCTGCACAGATATTAGAAAGTAAAGTCATCCCACAGTCCAGCTTTTACCGCCATTACTGTCTTTGTATCAGGAGAATATGAGGAAGATCCTGAAGAACCTTTTTTGTAGACTCAGCTTCTTCACACCTGCCTCATGCCTTCATCTGTCTCCTGACCCTAATCATTTTGACATTTATCAAATTATGAATTTATTCTAAGGGCAGAGTTACCTATTTTTTCAAAGTACTAAAATACCCGTGTGTGTGTGTGTGGATAGGGCCAGAGAGTCTAATTATTAGTGAAAATAACATCAGCCTGTTACAGCAGATGGCCCCGCCCCTCCCTGAGCCTGGTTCAACATACAGTACAATATATAGTACCTTGAGGCAACTGTTGCTGTGACTTGGCGCTGTATAATAGATGGATGGTGTTTCCAGGTCTTAAAGTTAAGTGCCTTAAACCTGCATTCTTTTTATGTGCCAGCAGGGGGCGACTCTTTTCATCCCTAAAAACAGGTGGTTGAACACAAGTCTGTAGGTACGGAACCCCGCAGGGGACATGGGAGAAAAAAATTAAGACGGACGTCGAGTTTGTTTTAAACGCGTGCAGCGTTTAAAGCGTGGAAGTACTGACCTTACTTTGAGTTTGATTCCATAAAAAGTGACAAAAACATTAGTGTTCACTGTGCGTGGGAAGAAAACTTCTTTTTACAGTGAAAAAAACCCCTAAACTTCCAAGCAAGCGCAGAGTAGCTACGACGTAATGTAAAATTCACAGAGAAGCTCGCGGATTCTTCAACTGACAGCTGCGCACACCTGCACCAGGGTAAACCTCCGCCTACCCCACTCCTGCTTTACAGGTGAAAATAGAGCAACAGGACCGCTGAGTCTTTGATTTTATTTATTTTCTGCTGTGTTTTACTTGCATCTATTTGAAAGACTGAGTGTAAACACACACAAAAAAATATTTTAGCTGGAATGTGCAGAAAATAAGTTTAAATATTAAACAAATTTCTTCCAGTCAGAGAATGTTGCAGATAATTAAATTTTTGCTTGATGCATAAAGTTAAAAGATTAAAACTAATAAGACAAGTTTTAAAAAGAGACTTTTCCATCTGATTACATTTTGTATGATGATTATGCAGAAAAAGTAGAATTGGGCTTTATCACCTCTTCAGGTTGTAAATCGTGTTTTTAAAAAGTAACTAAGTAATTAATTACTTTTGAAAAGAAGTAATCAGTAAAGTAACGGGATTACTTTTTTGGGGAAGTAATGAGTAATTAGTTACTGATTACTTTTTTCAAGTAACTTGACCAACACTTCTTATAAATACATTGAAATTTAAAATTCACCGAGTGATTAGAAACTACTAAACAGAGTTATTGAATCAAAAGCTGTTCTGACTTTTATATGAGGTTTAACAGAGACGAGCTGGATGCTGATGAAGGGGCAGAGATGGTGTATAATGTGTAATTTTAGTGTTCAGTATGAAATGAGGACATCGTGTCTGTACAGGAAAAACAAAACTGTCTCTGGTCTCCAGCGACTGATGATGAAGGTCATCTCAACACTCAGTTTAAAAAACATCATTAATTCATCACAGGGCGTCGAGTGTGCCGTAACACGAGAGCATCAGTCACGAGAAGACGCAGAAATCGAAGAGAAAGCTCACAGGACACTCAATCAAATGACGCCACAGCACTCCGGTGTACATTAAAAAAACATTTTTTCTTTTTTTTATTTCGTCAGAGACCAAAAATAGCCTCGCCGAGTCTACATGCAGAATATAACATGTCAAACACATTCTAGTCACATTTAGAGAAGTCACGGCTGCGATGGTCGACAACAAGTAGAAACACGTTGCTCAGCAGAGGGGTGGGGGGAGGGGCTGACCTACAACCTGTAAATGTAGACTAAGACGGTACAGAAAACGTCAAATCAGAAACATACAGAGAAGAAAACAAACCTCCCTGGACCTGGGCACAGCCTCGGGGGCGTGGTCGTGAAATCTGGCGGCATCACCTGCTCATGTCTCACCTTTACCAGCAAATACAGTAAATTATTTACAGTTATTCAGTCGTTTTTGTGTATTAGCTGAACCAAAGGACTGTTTGGTCTCAGTGGATGATGTGAGTTCGCTGCTGGTGGATGGTTTCTGAATTAAATTTTAGAAGTAAATCAGCTGACACTTGTGTTTGCATTAAATACATGAGGCTATTTTTCTTGTGTTGTATTCCCACAGACAAACTCTCTGACCAACTTCAACTTTAAATACAGCGTAAATGAGTCAGACCTTAAGAAAGTTGGCAACTTGGTGAAAAACAGATTTAAGGATTTTCTGACCTCTTGAATTATTACAACACGACTTAAAATTAGTGCTGTCGGCGTTAATCTCGTTAAAATGACGCTAACGCCATAAGGTGGCCTTAACGCGGATCGCCCCGTGCGAGCAGCTGCACAGCGTCGATGCACAAGTTAGCTTGTTAATGCGTTAGTGCCGTGCAGCCCCTCGAATGGGGCGATCCGCGTTAACTCGCTAATGGAGATTTGCCACCTTATGGCGTTAGCGTCATTTTAACGAGATTAACACTGACAACACTACTTAAAATGAAATGTTGCACCTTCAGAAATGTGTTAAAGTTCACTTTCACTGAAGAATGACATCCTTCAAATTCAACACAATTTGAAATGAAATTTGGATGTTGTGACGAACAAAAACACAAAGCTGGACTCAGAGTCGCACAGGCTCGTGACGGTCAGGGACACGAGGAACGACACAGAACTCATTCACCAGATGACACAAAGATCCCACGGAAACGTCGGCGTGATTGCTGTCGGAGCAAACCTCAAATGTGTTTTCTTGTCGTACGTTGCATTCACAAAAAAAATAACACCAAATTAGCTCCAACTGCTCTTTTCATGGTATCACCTCTTAAGCCTTGATTACAGTCTGTTGTGGACTCGGACAGCCGGAGACGGCACGGCCGACTCGTCAGTCCAGTCAGTTTTCTGCATTTCCACCAGCTGGGGTGCAAACGTAGTTGGTGCATCGGAAACTCTCACAGAAACTTGCAGGCACGTCCACGAGATGACGTTTACGTCACTCAGACTCTAGCAGACGGGCAAAGCTTTAACATTAGCCGGCGTGCTGGCGACCTGCTCGGGGCTGTGGTGTGTTTTAGCCACGAGCACACTCTCAGAATCTAGACGATGCTGCCGCATGGAAGTCAAACAGGTGAAACGTCCATTACAAAAATAATCAAAACTTTACATCGAAACAGAACAAAAAGAGGAGGCTTGGATTATTTATTAGGATTACTAAATTACTCAGGATACTGATCAGATTTTTCCTCCTCCTCGCCGAAAGTACTTGACTGTGTTTGTGTGAATAACGTAAGGCCAAATGACGCTATGATTTCATCTAAAACCATGAGACACACATGTTCATACCAGAGAACAGAACGCTGCTATATTCTGTATTATTACTGTGTTATTTTTTCTCGTGGGATCGTCTGTGCTTGGAATGTTTTGCTGAGGGGAAAACACAAAACAAAATTATTCCCTCACATTCAGAGAAAATCCTTGATCGAAGCAACCAAGACTTCCGTGAAAATTACCGTCAGGACGTTGACGTCGATTTGAAGTCCAGCCCTTCCTTTACAATCTTGCATACAGCATTCCTGCCTTTGTGTTCATGGCTTTACTGGTTTTACTTTCCTTTCATCAACGACGGGCAGAAATGCTCGTTGTGTGTTTCCTTGTCTTGATAAAGCCAACATTTGATTTCCAGACAATGCACATTCCTTTTCAGGGAAAAACCCCCAAACCACCCCCCGACTAACGCCTTCGTCCTCCATTCGTCAGTCCAACTTTTAACAGTACCATCGAAGGAGGGGCGGAGGAGGCATCGAGGCCGACAACTTTTCCTTTTAAAAAGTTAAAACTACACCACAGTACAGTTATCACAAGTCATGCTAATATACATAAACTACAATTTCGAAGAAAAGTTAACATAAAAACTTCCAGTAAAAGCTACTTTCAAGAAAAGAATTCTTCATGGTAAGAATAAATTATTAGCTTGTTTGAACACAGTGAAGTCTTTACATGGACCAAAGGATGAGTGTAAACATATCTATGGTACCAACTGGCCCCTCTCACCTCTACAAAAAAGGACGGAAACAAAAAACACTGCATTTGGTAATCAGCTGCACGTTATTAGTAAAAAGCAGAAAAGAAAGGGGCAAAGAAATCAACTTTTCAATAAATAGCACATTCCAGAGGGGCAGATGTGACTCTGTTAGCCAGCTCGACAAAGAAAGCATTCAACAAAACCTCGTAGCAGGAAAACTGAGACGGCGGACATGGCAGCGATGCAAAGTGACAGCGGGTTGTGTTGAATCGGCTCCTTGAACTATTTGCGGCATTGGAGGAAAAAACTAAAAAATAAAGGCGCAAAGATGCCATCCAAAATTAAAAGGAGGGAAAATAAGGCCCCTGAAATAAATATTCTTCTTTTAACAGTTTCCTAGGAGAAAAAGAAAACTCACTACACCTACTGTTAAAAAATGGTATATTCCCGCGCCGTAAGAAAACAATTATCAAAAAAGACCTCCGGCAGACACGGCTATACCATCCTGTTGTTAGTGTCCGAGGAAAAGTGTCCGAGATTTTGTTTTTGCCGGCGACCCCTGTTGTTCTTCGGGCATTTCCTGAAGACAAAGAGAGCGAGAAAGTCGGTGTTACAATTTGTGTCCGTTACTAAAATCAGATTTATATGCTGTGATTGAGTCAATCTCCCAATTTGGTGCTTTTTCTTTTTTAGATTTTAGATCGGCCATTGTACAGTATTGTGCAAAAGTCTTTTTCTTTATATTTTCTTTCCGAGGAATCAGACTCGTTAGTTAAAGTGGTCTTGGCCAAAACTTCTCCAGGTTTTCTCTGCCTGACCATTTTCAGACAGAGGACGTGTTTTTCTTTCTTTTTGTTTGTCGAGCATAAAAAGGGCACAGATCTCAAGCACTGAACCAGCGTTGTGTCTACAAATAACGGGCAATTTTGCAAAAAAACATTTTTAAATTGTATCTTCGAGGCAGCGTGTCACAAAACCTCATAATGTGTTCCAGTTTATTTAGTTCAGTCCACAAAAATGTCACTGGCAACACATTTTGACAGATATAAAAGAGTATTTTTACACCAACAATGTGATTCCCAGAGAGCTATTTGCTGAACACATATCTTGACGTGGTGTGTTCTTAAGTGGAAGAATAAAAAGTGACCAGTGAAAAGGAATTATTATTATTATTATTATTCAAGACCTGGACTGAAAATCAGTGACCACAGGTCTCATGACGGGACGAATGTTCAGTTCAGGTGGTTCGGTGAGGGGAGCCATCTGTAAAACATGGCGGAGGCTCTGTTGTGTTTGCAGCTGTACTTCATGCAGTCGTGTTGGAGATGGTGTATTAATGCAGAAAGTTACCACCAGGCTTTTCATTAGCATGTAATGATCCACACTGCCACTGCAGGAAAACCAACCAGCTCAACATTGTACAAACTCTGTTTTTGCCTTATTTACTGAGACTTCATGTTTCAGTCAACTCGCTGCATCTATTTTTCTAGTAAAGTATAAAATAATTAACACACTGCTGCTATTACAGTGTTGAGGCTGCTGTGAAAGAAATGTCGCTCTTTTGATAAATACTGTAAGGACACAAAAGCTTTGTATCAAGCAGAAATGCTAAAGACTAAAATCAGTTAACACTTTGTAAGTATTTTAATGAGACGTGAAGACATAAATATTTGACAACTAAAACTTTAAACACTATTTTTTTCTTTGCACTTGAGTACCTTGTGATGCACATCACTACGGCAACAATGATGGCGATCTGCACGGCTCCGATGATGGCGGCGATCAGGACGTAGTGCAGCTTCTGTCCACTGGGGACCACGTAGAGGATGTTGAAGTCCTGAGGCTCGTCACACTGAGGACCTTTGTATCCTGCGTCACATCTGAGTCGGACACACAACAAGACTGTGTGATGTCACATGTTACATACTTTAGGATTGTGTAATAGTTTAGTGTTTGTTTCATGATTTAAACTTTGACATTTCACACTTCTACCACCACACTTCTGATGACATCCATTAACTTTGACTCTAGTAAAAACAAACGCTTCATTTTTATGTATTTATTTGAAACATTTACAGCGGAGGCCGTTACAAACCTGCAGGTGGCCATGTTGTACTTGTTGATCTCACATTTCCCGTGAACGCAGAAGCCGGAGAAGCTGTCGGCACACGGGATGGACATTCCCGGGTAGAAACCTTCTCCGTGATCCACAATCCTGGTGTCTGAAAGGACGAAACGAGAAATCAGAGACACAAGGTGAGAACAATAAAGGGATTTTTATTATCGATTTACAGTTTATTACATATTGATTCATAGTTTCTGTATCAAACACAAATCTTTACCACAATGCTGATAATGATTTGTTAGATTTTCCTTTGTAAGCTTTTCATTTTCGTTAGTTTCTTCACTTTTTTCTATATTTAACGGAACAAATCTTCCATAGTTTGTTTTGTGATGTTTATTTGATTGAACTAGGCTGTTTTTCATATTTGGCCTAATCTGATCTCACAGCAGTTTGTGAAACAGTCACAACCTGTAATCTGCTGATGTGTGTTTCTGGACAGCGACCTTGAACACGGCGTTTAATCTTACAGGTCTACAAGTGTGAATGATTTTCCATTTTAAAAGGTAAAAGCAGTTTGTAGTAGGAGCTCGGAGGGATGGTGGTAGACACCCACGATCAGATTTTCACACATCATTTAAACACAACATAAAGAGGCTCATAACCAGCAGCCTGTCACCTGGTTTGGCTCAAGTGTTAAACGGTAATTGTTTGGGGTTTGAAAAAGCCACGTTTATTTTAAAGCTTCGTTTGAGCCTCCCCACGGTCTCAACCCCAGATTTGTGCGTCTGACATAAAACATATTTCATGCCAGCGAGGACAAATTTGTGATAAAGTGTTTCAATAGGAAATAAGTCCATTTGTGTGAAATAAAGAGGAGACAATAGATTCACTAGATGATGATTTAAAGACCTGAGACTGGGCTGTAACAGTGATTTCCCATCTTTGGGATAAATAAAGCCCATCTTACTTTATTTGATCTTATATCATAATTTTGTAAAGATATATTTGGTAATTTGAACACACAGACACGTTTCATTGAGTTTGACTGTGACGTCGCTCATCTTACATTCAATTAACGAACATTATTAATATAATAACAATATACTGTTGTTTTTTAATGTTAAAGCTAAATTTGGTAAAAGCAGATCTACATTTTATGCTCCTAATAATAATAATAAATGAAGTGCTGTGCCACAAACGGAGTCATCTGCTGTGCGCTGCAGCGCTGTGCGAGGGCATAAATCCTAATAAGTCACACAGATCTGTCTCTCCGTGCTATGATTCACTGCAGTCTTAGAGGAAAAGCTGACAAAGCAAACTGTGCAGCTCATTAAAGTGACTGAAACGTTATATACCAAATCCACATTAACATGAAGGAAGCTGTTAACAAGAAGCCGCCTGTGTGTGCGTGTCACCAATTTTAAATTCTGCTGTTCGCCATGTTCACGACGGCGAAGAGATTCGCGAGCTTAAGACTGTCTGAGTGCTGCTGGATGAAACGTTTGAACGAGATTATAGGACAGAAGTCGGGACAGAAACCTGTTGGTTTACCGAGAGTTTTGCAACCTTCATCTTTTCAATTTAAAATAAAACTCCTCCAACGGTGACATGTTACTATAAACCTGAGCTACTCTAGTTCTTACATGGGACTAGAGTACTTAATGCTTTTACTGTCACTGCTTTAGCTTTTTGTAACTAGACATCACAGGCAGAAACCAAAGGACACTCTCACCTGCTATTAGAGATGGCACGATACCACTTTTTTATGTCCGATACCGATACCGTATCATAAATTTGGATATCTGCCGATACCGATATGAATCCGATATAGTGTTTTTTAACTCAACAAAACTGTTTTTTAAATATCTTGCTGCATTTTGTATAAGTTCATACTCAAGTTTAAAACAACAACTACACTAAAGCTATTCTGTTATACCTGTATGCAAAAAAAAATATTTCATAGTTCAGCAATACTGATCAATCTAATAAACTTAAACCTACACCATCCTCCCTATTCTGGTATTTTAAAGAGTACTTAGCATAAATATTAAGCAACCTAACTAATAGGTTGCCAACTCCCAGCACAAAAAATAAATAAATAAAAAATAGGGAACCACCCCTCACGCTCCACCTCATGATGCTTAATCGACGTAATCAACCATTAATTTGATGCAGTGTGAAAAAAAATGCACAGAAATCAATTATTTTTCAAGAAATATTAAATAGATTCAACATCTTTCTTCAACAAAATTGCAGACTGCACAGATGGTACCTTCCCAAAGGAAAAAGTACTATAGCTTACTAGGGTATATTAGACTTAATAGTTACTATATACAGTAATTGACTTCTATTCATTTTACATCAAATTAAAACTTTGGGTGTCAGATAATTATTTATTAAAAGCTCGACATTTTAAATGAGAATAAGAAAGAAAAGTATGTCTTTGTGCCCCCTTTTCCCTGTTAATGCCCTATCGGCCCCCCTGGCTAAACTTTGCTAGATCCGCCCCTGCACAGTTACCAGCCGTCAGCTACGTAGAAAAAGATCCTGGTGTAGAAAGTAATATTAAATAAATTCTAACAACAGCTATCAAGCTTAAACGTGCTGCTGTTGTTCAGCCGCTGGTTTCTCTCTTTCTGGTGCAAAGTGGGCCAAAAACAAACAAGAGAGCGATCAGCGATCATTGAACAGTTTCATGATTGAAGTAGCAGCAGAGAGAGGCAGTCGCTCCATTACGGTTGAAGCTTAACGTGGGAATGCTTTACAAACATTCAGAGATGGACTTACACACTTGCTTTACTTCTCTCTGCGGATAACTTTGTCGGAGATGAAATGCCGGGTTGCTAGCAGAAGCTCCAAATGCTCAACCAGACCGTGGACAGGTCTGGCACAGCCGCTCTATCACGTGATGCATACTGCTCCGACGTGCTAAGGTTATGAGGTGAGTTACGGCGTGTCACAAGTTTTGTGAGGTGCTTTTTTTATATTTAATGGATCGGATTACATTTTTTATTTCTCTCCGATATCCGATCCAGTAATTTAGGTCAATATTGGACCGATACCGATACGTAATATCGGATCGGTCCATCTCTACCTGCTATTAACTAATCTCAGGGCAAGAAGTAGCCTCCTTTATTCTGCTTCTGTTCACCGATGAGACCATGATGAACATGATACTGTGTTTAGTAGCACCCGGTGCGCGCAACTGAGTCCATGAACCCATCAGCAAAATGTTTAGTGTGGTCACAGATCCAGTGAGCAGCAGGCAGACTGCTATACAACCTGACTGACAGTGAGAGCAGCGCCCCCTGCTGGCTATGAGAAAGGACGCGTGACTTAAATCCGTGTTTTACATCCAGACTGAAGTAAAATCACATAAAGTAGAACAAATGTGCATTCGTTTTAATGGCAAGCAGGGGGCGCTCTGTGTGGCAGCAAATCCTTCTGTTCCTGTTGGAAATCTGTTGGAAAACGGATCCTCTGCTCTGATCCTAGTGAACACTTTCCCGATGAGATAATGAACTTCTCTGCTTTGGCTCATTTTGGAAAAAACATCAAGCCCATCTTATAAATTTTATTCCCTCTCAGAGTCAGAAAAATCGATCTTTTAAGCCGCCTGAGGTAAAACGTTGTTTTATTAAAAGGTTTTTTTGTGAGTGAACTTCTTCACTCCCTTTTTGAGTTGAGCCTTTTTAACCTTTCACTGTCTTTGGGAGCCGTGAGTGATGAAAGCTTGTAGTGAAGGGCAAGTAGGGACACGCCGCGGTTTGATTCATTCGTCACTGAATGATTTACTTATTTGAAGGACAGGCGCCGATGTGGTGAAGGTCACCTGAACGCGGCACAGAAGGAGAAGCTCAGCCTTTCTCAGCTCTTTATCGGAGGCAGAAATGTGTTGCTGTGTCCTTCCCTGTTTGCGATGTAGACAATGCCGCAGTTTAATCCCGCGCTTCTTTTGTCCGAGTTAAAACTCGGAGCGAAGGAGCTGCGGAGGAATCGCTCCCCCTGAGACGTTTCAGTCGGTGATGTAAATGCACGGCGAGCTCTGCAGATAATAAAACGCTTTCGATTTTGTTTCATCTCCTCTTTGATCTCCAGACTCAACACTTGCATCGTGCAGCTGATGGTTAAGGCGCTGAAATGCCCTCATTCTGCTCCTCTAATCTGCATGTTGACTTATGAGAAATCACACAGTCGCACCGGGATCAGGCTTAAAAAACGGTGTACTTTCTTTCTTTCAGAGCTGTGCATTTTGATTTCCTGCACTTTGTTTCCTGCCCCCCTCTGAGGACCTTATTGTGTATTAAGGAGATTTTCATTAGGTTTTATCCTGCTGCTGTTGCTCCTCAGCAGGTTCAGACGCAGGTTAACAGGCTGCCGAAAGGCCGCAGGAAGTTTTACCGCATTAGAGGCAGGAAAAGTGGATTTACAGTGTGGTTATATAATATGAGCAAATACAAACAGAGTCCCAGAGGTTGTTAATGCGCAGACTGCTAGCCATGCTAGCGGCTCAGCTCTGTGCATATCCATCACATAGTGACACAGACTGAATAACAAGTAGAAGCTCGTGTCTGGATGGACGGCGTCCTGTAATTCTTCATTTAATGCCATCGTTAGGTCAACACACCTGTGGTATGAATGCAAATCTGCACTGACAGGAAACTGTCGCTGCCAACAGTAATCTGATTCCTGAAAGTATCTTTTCAAGATTCAGTTTGACTGCCCTCAGTGTCTCTGTGTTCTCATATATGCAGGATGCTAATGATGCTCAGGTTTGAACATAGGGAACAAAGACACTGACGTACAGGTAAAAGCTGTGCTGACACACTGCACAACATCTTCCTAATGGGGTCATTCTTGGCCACTGGAGGCTCCATCCCCACAGACTCTCATGTTAAAATGTCCATAAAGAGTTCATCTTTTAAGGCTTTTCTAACAGCTGGCTGTAGCTGTTAGCGCTCTGCTAGCTGAACTGGACCTCTCATGCATGTTTGTGGTGTTGGAAGGAGTCTGCTCCACTTTTGAGGAGTCAAATTAAACGCTACATTTTTATGTGAATCAGTGCTAATTATCAGGTGCAGTTTACAGACGTATCTTGCAGTGTTAGCTGTAGGGCTGCCACAAACGATTATTTTGATAGTCGACTAGTCACCGACTATTTATGCGATTAGTCGACTAATCAGATCATCATCCACTGGACGTAAAACGTACAGCTTATTGCACCAGCAGCATCTGCTCTTATATAACTATCATTAGCTTACAGCTTGAAGTGTTTAAGGTCTGTGCTAACTAAAAATAAAGACAAGATGATAGTTCATTAGATTTTAATGAAATTTGCAGATTGTTTCGGTGAAGTTTAATAAATTCCTTGCTATCTAAAATATAACAGGACACCGGAGTAAATTCTCGAGCATCTCACACTTCTGATAATCAGCTGTCTGCTTGACGTTTATTCAGCTGTGTAAAAACTATAACTTTAATCTCAGCCAAACCGATTTACTCA